CTTAAAACAGACAAATTCAACAAATATTCAAATAGTGTAGGTTTATTCATGAACAAGAAGAAAACTAAAGTAATGAGAATAAATCAAAAGAAAAATGACAAAATTAAAATCGAAAATCACGAAATAGATGACATAGAATCATTTAGCTATTTAGGTTCTATTGTAGATAAAAAAGGTGGAAGTAGCGAAGATATTAGACAGAGAATAATCAAAGCAAGAACATGTTTTAAGGGATTACATAAATTTTGGAGAGAGTCAAATATTGAAATAAAGACAAAAATAGTTGTTTACAAAGCTATTGTTAGTGCAGTACTATTATATGGCGCAGAAACCTGGAAACAGATTAAGATCGAAATACAAAAATTAGAAACCTTTCAAAACAAATGTTTAAGATTCATTTTTAAAATTTTCTGGCCTTAAAAAGTATCAAGTCAAAATCTATTAAAGAAAGCTAAAATAATAACAATAGAAGATGAAATTAAAAAACAAAGAGGGAGCTGACTCGGACATATCCTCAGAATGCCCAAAGAAAAAATTACATCTGTTGCGATTACATGGGCCCCTGATGGTAAAAGAACAAGAGGAAGACCCAGACTTACCGAATTAAAAGAATGTGGAATATCTGGCGGGGAGGAAGCAAGATTAATTGCTAGAGACAGGAGGCGTTGGAGGGATATGCTAGAGGCCTTAAGTGCCCAAAGGCACGTAGAGGATAAGTAAGTAAAATATTATTGACCAAATCACAGCCCATAATTCAACCTGTACCAAACGCATTGTTCTATCTCTAGAATAAACCCATTTAATTTAAATGTCTGCAACAAGTTTATAACCCATCAAAAACTTACCCATATATTGCTGTATCTTTCACAACACGCATCTGAATCAATGTTGAATCTACAACTGAAATAAATTCAAAATAATATTAACTTATTTTTTAAAATAATTATAAAGAATTATTAATAAATATTATTTTTTTAATTCTTATTCGGGGGAAGAAAAAAATTGGTTTTCTTTCCTTTCACGGATTTTTAATTACATATTTTTTATGTGATGATGACTTACGAAATGCGAAAAAAGAAATAATTAGTGTGTTTTCCTCTCACAAAATGTGAGAATATCGCAAATGATATTAGATGAAAAAAATATTACATATTATTTTATAAAAAAATACATACAAATTTATATCCAAATAGTTTTTTTTTTATAAATACAATGTTTCTGTTACTTTAAATTTATTCAATAACATGTATATTAGTTAATATTAAAAGTGTCTCATAGAAAGATATTAGTGCTAGAGAGGTCTGTCGCTTACCGTGCCACAGGTTCTGGGCTCGATCCTTGGGCCAGGCAAGGTCGACTCAGACTTCGGTCGATAAATGAGTACCGAGCATGCTCGGGAACTAAACACTGGGGTTCAGTGTTCGGCTGACCACCGGACTGGAACATCTGCTTCTGCACCCCAGAGCCTGAGGTCAAGAAAACTGAGATGAGCACAGTAGGCTCTGGCCATCTATGGGCTGTAACGCCATTGAGTTTAATTTATATTAGTTAATACCAAAAGTGTCTAGTAGAAAGATATTAGTGCTAGAGAGGTTTGTGGTATATTCCATAAGAACGAAATCTTATTTTTCTTAATGATTTTGTCAATCTACTTTAGGAAAAAATTGATTTTTTTTACTTAAAAAATATATAAGTCATCTCCTTCTTGAGAACTAAACTCTCAGGATCAATGGTGGAAGTTGTTCAATGAGTACTACACTGAGTCAACTATTAGAAAAGGTAAACTTTTGTTGTCTAATTATATAGTTTACAGTTTTTTAGGATTTTCATTCAAATCTGTAGAATTTAATTAAACTTGGAAAATACTAATTCATTTAAAATGTTTTAAACTTCCAAATAGGCAAATCATTTTTTTTTTCATGAATAAAACATAAATAATTTTCACCCATTTGCAATTTGTCAGGGACTCTCATAACAATCATTTAAAAGCATTAAATTTGTGTTTTAAACCTCAACGCACAGTGGTCTGATGGACAAGACATTTTGCGACTTGAGATCTTAAATAACGATCATAAACTCTTTTTTAAAGATAATAATCCTGTTATAGTGAACGAAATGTTATAATTTTTAGTTCATATTATAAAAAAAAGAACCAGTGAATATTTCTGTACAGATACCTGTCTTGTAAACTACCATTGCCAGGACACTGAATAATTATTTGAATTTGCTAATTATTTTTTTTCAAAAAAGTAGTGGTTTGCCCAAAGGCAATGAGTTTTAGTAACAATATTTGAAACTGGTATTCTAATCACCCTTTTAAGCAAATTAAAAACATGTGTTTTAAACAAATGTTTTATACATAACAACTCGAATACAAAACAGGTTCAAACAAATGTATAACAGTATATTATAACATATTCTATTACATACTATGTAACAAATCTAATTGTTATAAAAAAGTAAAGCATGAGATCGAGGGTACAAACCAAAAATGAAAATTTCAATTCTTAAAAGATAATTGACAAAATTTTGAAGCATTCTGATGATGTTTTCAGAATAAATGTTTACAACAACAATCCAGAGCACTTGACCAACATTACTTCCGGTTTGAAAGTATAAAGCTGCTAACTTCTGCTTATTCTAAGGCAATATTTTCAAACAGTCATAATCAGGGTCTCTAATTGGGTATAATATAAAGAAAAAAAAAACTACTTCGATTTAGTAGGAACAACATATGACGCAATGCTAAACGAATGGAATTTAGTTGTTGTTTATTTAGTTATTGTTATTAGTAGTTGTTGTTATTTGTTTTAGTTGTTGTTGTTTATTTAGTTTCGCATAGGCATACATAGAAAACTTTAGGGTCACGCTGTGCACCCCCTAATTGACCTATAATTATTTCCTGTGGTAGTGTTCACTATTAGCCTGTAATATAATACCTGCTCCATTTTAAATATTATGGGACAATATTAAGGTCAGATATCGCGCCTTGCGTTAGTTAACCATTGAAAAATATCTTCGAATTTTTAAAGCTTTTTAGAAGACTTATTTCTTTATTTTAAGCTTCTCAGAACACTTTATTTCACATATGCATACATAGTAAGCATTAGGGTCACGCTGTGAACCCCCTAATTGACCTGTAATTATTTCCTGTGGTAGGGCACACTATGACTCTGTAATAAAATACCTGGTCCAACTAAAATATTACAGGTCAAACTTAAGGTGTGATATCGCGCCTCGCGTTAGGTAACCATTGAAAGATGGCTTTGAATTTTTAAAGCATTTTAGAAGTCTTATTTCTTCATCTTAAGATTCTTAGAACACTTTATTTCACATAGACATACATAGTAAATTTTAGGGTCACGCTGTGTACCACTTAATTGACCAATAGTTATTTCCTGTGGCAGGGTACACTATTACCCTGTAATATAATACCTAGTCCAACTAAAATATTATAGGTCAATATGAAAGTCCGATACCGTGCCGTTAGTTAACATTGAAAAGTGTCTTCGAATTTCCTTGCTTTAATGCACTATTTACAATATACATAGTGTACCCCCTAATTGAGCTACAATTATTTAACGTGGAAGGGTACACTATTACCCTGTAATATAATATGTGGTCCAACTTAAATATTATGGGTCAATATTAAGGTCCGAAATCGGTCTTTACGTTAACATTGAAAAGTGACTTCGCGCATCCTATCTTTAAAGGGTTTTAGAGGGCGAATTTCCTCGTTTTGAGTAATAGTGAATTAAGTCAATTTTAAGGTCAGATATCGTGCCGTTTGTTAGCATTGAAAAGTGTCTTCGAATTTCCTTGTTTTAATGCACTATTTAAAATATACATAGTGTACCCCCTAATTCACCTATAATTATTTCCTGTGGTAGGGTACACTATCACCCTGTAATATAATATGTGGTCCAATTTAAATATTATGGGTCAATATTAAGATCTGAAATCGATCTTTACGTTAACATTGAAAAGTGACTTCGCGCTTCCTATCTTTAAAGGGTTTTAGAAGGCGAATTTCCTCGTTTTGAGCAATAGTGAATTAAGTCATTATTAAGGACCGATACCGTGGCGTTAGTTAATATTGAAAAGTGTCTTCGAAATTCCTTGTTTAAATGCACTATTTAAAATATACATAGTGTATCCCCTAATTCACCTATAATTATTTCCTGTGGTAAAGTGCACTATTACCCTGTAATATAATACCTGGTCCAATTAAAATATTATAGGTCAATATTAAGGTCCGATATCCGGCAAACAGTGTAAAGGGACTTCGCGCTTCCTATCTTTAAAGGGTTTTAGAAGGCGAATTTCCTCATTTTAAGCTCCTCAGACTACTTATTTTAGATACGCACACATAGTAAAATACAGGAACTCAAGTTGTACCCCCTAATTGACCTATTATTATTTCCCGTGGTAGGGTACACTATTACCCTGTAATATAATACCTGGTCCAACTAAAATATTATAGGTCAATATTAAGGTCTGATATCGCGCCTTGCGTTAGTTAAAAATTGAAAGAAGTCTCTAAATTTTTAAAGCATTTTAGAAGGCTTATTTCTTCATTATTTCTCAAGGCTTATTTCTCAGAACACTTTATTATACTACAGCCTTCTAAAATGCTTTAAAAATTCAAAGACATCTTTCAATGGTTAACTAACGCAAGGCGCGATATCAGACCTTAATATTGACCTATAATATTTTAGTTACGTTACACCAGGTATTATATTACAGGGTAATAATGTACCCTTCCACAGGAAATACTTATAGGTCAATTAGGTTGTACACAGCGTGACCCAAACATTTACAATGTATGGATATGTGAAATAAGTGTTTCTGAGAAGCTTAAAATGAGGAAATTCGCTTTCTAAAAAGCTTTAAAAATTGGAAGCGCGAAGTCCCTCTTCACTGTTAACGTAAAGCCCGATTTCGGATCCTAATATTGACCCATAATATTTTAGTTGGACCACATATTATATTACAGGAATATAATTATAGGTCAATTAGGGGGTACACTATGTATATTTTAAATAGTACATTAAAACAAGGAAATTCGAAGACACTTTTCAATGTTAACTCAAGGCGCAATATCAGACCTTAATATTGACCTATAATATTTAAATTGGACCAGTTATTATATTACAGGGTGATAGTGTACCCTGCCACAGAAAATAATTATAGGACAATTAGGGGGGACACAGCGTGACCCTAAAGTTTACTATGTATGCTTTTGTGAAATAAAGTGTACTGAGAAGTTTAAAATGAAGACATAAGACTTCTAAAATGCTTAAAAAATTCAAAGACATCATTCAATGGTTAACTAACGCAAGGTGCGAGATCAGACCTTAATATTGACCAATAATATTTTAGTTGGACCACATATTATATTACAGGGTAATAGTGGACCCTTCCACTGGAAATAATTATTGGTGAATTAGGGGGAACACTATGCATATTTTAAATAGTGCATTAAAACAAGGAAATTCGAAGACACTTTTCTATGTTAACTAACGGCGCGGTATCGGACCTTAATATTGACCTATAATGTTTTAATTGGACCAGGTATTATATTACAGGGTAATAGTGTACCCAACAACAGGAAAAAGTTATAGGTGAATTAGGGGGTACACTATTTATATTTTAAATAGTGCATTAAAAAAAGGAAATTCGAAGGCACTTTTCAATGCTAACAAACGGCACGATATCTGACCTTAAAATTGACTTAATTCACTATTGCTCAAAACGAGGAAATTCGCCATCTAAAACCATTTAAAAATAGGAAGCGCGAAGTCACTTTTTCATGTTAATGTAAAGCCCGATTTCGGACCTTAATAATGACCCATAATATTTAAATTGGACCACATATTATATTACAGGGTAATAGTGTACCTTACCACAGGAAATAATTTTAGGTCAATTAGGGAGTACACAGCGTGGCCTTAAAGTTTACTATGTATGCCTATGTGAAATAAAATGTTTTGAGAAGCTTAAAATGAAGAAATAAGACTTCTAAAATGCTTTAAAAATTCAAAGACATCTTTCAATGGTTCACCAACATAAGTCGCGATATCGGACCTTAATATTGACCTATAATATTTCAGTTGGACCAGGTAATATATGACAGGGAAATAGTGTACCCTTCCAATGGAAATAATTATAGGATGACCTAATTGACCTATACCCCTAAATAGTGTACCCCCCAATTCATCTATAATTATTTCCCGTTGTAGGGTACACTATTAACCTGTAATATAATATCTGGTCCAACTAAAATATTATTGGTCAATATTAAGGTCTGATCTCGCACCTTGCGCTAGTTAACCATTGAATGATGTCTTTGAATTTTTAAAGCATTTTTGAAGTCTTATGTCTTCATTTTAAGCTTCTCAGAACACTTTATTTCACAAAAGCATACATAGTAAACTTTAGGGTCGCGCTGTGTCCCTCCTAATTGACCTATAATTATTTCCTGTGTTAGTGTACACTAATACCCTCTAATATAATACCTAGTCCAACTAAAATATTATAGGTCAATATTAAGGTCTGATATCGCGCCTTGTGTTAGTTAACCATTGAATGATGTCTTTGAATTCTTAAAGCATTTTTGAAGTCTTATTTCTTCATCTTAATCTTCTCAGAACACTTTATTTCACATAGGCATACATAGTAAACTTTAGGCTCACGCTGTGTACCCCCTAATTGACCTATAATTATTTCCCGTGGTAGGGTACACTATTACCCTGTAATATAATACGTGGTAACTATTAAAAATTATAGGTCAATATTAAGGTCCGATACCGTGCCGTTAGTTAACATAGAAAAGTTTCTTTGAATTTTTAAAGGATTTTAGATGGCTTATTTCTTCATTTTAAGCTTCTCAGAACACTTTATTTGACATAAGCATACATAGTAAACTTTAGGGTCAAGCTGTATGCCCCCTAATAGACCTATAATTATTTCCTGTGGTAGGGTACACTATTACCCAGTAATATAATTTCTGGTCCAATTAAAATATTATAGATCAATATTAAGGTTCGATACCGTGCCGTTAGTTATCATTGAAAAATGTCTTCGAATTTCTTTGTTTTAATGCACTATTTAAAATATACATAGTGTACCCCCTAATTGAAATATAATTATTTCCCGTGGTAGAGTACACTTTTACCCTGTAATATAATATGTGGTCCAATTCAAATATTATGGGTCAATATTAAGGACCGAAATAGGGCTTTCCGTTAACATTGAAAAGTGACTTTGCGCTTTCTATCTTTAAAGGGTTTTAGAGGGCGAATTTCCTCGTTTTGAGCAATAGTGAATTTAGTCAATTTTAAGGTCAGATATCGTTCCGTTTGTTAGCATTAAAAAGTGTCTTCGAATTTCCTTGTTTTAATGCACTATTTAAAATATACATAGTGTACCCCCTAATTCATCTATAAATATTTCCCGTGGAAGGGTACATTATTACCCTGTAATATAATATGTGGTCCTATTTAAATATTAT